GCCATATTTATAATTCATTCCGCTTGGAAGTGAAGCGAGTTGGCACCGTCACGCCGCGCCATTAGACCATGAAGCCGCCCACGTAACAGCGGCCGTCGTCGAGGTTCGAACCCGGGCTTACCGCGTGTGAGATCAGCACGCTAACCATCTATCCACTGGGGATGCGGGCCCGGCGGTCGAAAACTCGTGGTTAGAACAGAAATGGTTCAGGGTGAGTTAATGGATTTCGTGATCATTTGATGGCTATCACGCATAGAATTGACTTTTCGCACGGGACTCTGCATTTTTGCCCTTTCTCCCTCCGAGGCTGCCAATCCGCGTATGCTTAACACGTACAACCACCTGAAGGATTTTTGGAGGGTGTATAAGCCCGGTGCGTAACCACCCTCCGTTTTGGAGTGTGTATAACCCCCGTGCGTAACCGCCCTCCGTTTTGGAGGGTGTGTACGCACTGCCTGGCCTCAATTTTAGCTATTGTTTTGTTTTTAGTTGTTAAACGCTGCTCTGAGCAACACAATGCCACTATGTTAATAAGGTGCTGCATAATACACCGTTTGATTACGTCATGGAGCGTCTTTATGACGTCATGTCACTGCCAGATTGACCGTGGCAGATGCTTCTGAAAAGGGTGGGGGTTGATTCGCTTGCAGTGTTTAAACTTACGGAAAGGTGGCTGTGGCGATGCTGGAGTTGTTTACGGATCCATATGCCGGGATATCCTTCTTCTAATGTGGCCATTTCTCGTGGTGCTATTGCATATTTGTCCGTAATTTTATATTTTTTACGTACATTCGCATCCTCAGCTATGGTGCTTTTCTAAAGTCATTCAATTACAGTGTTTTTCCGTCACAATCCATGCCATTGCGCAACCGCCAGGATCATGCAGCACAAAACGTGATTCGTGTTCAAAACTTGCACTGCACACACTATATTATTTGAGGGCCAGCTGAAGTCTGTTGATACCAGAAATTGCGCTGACCTTCGCCGAACGCGTATCTTGATGGTAACATTTTTACTTGGCCTTGAGTAGTACAGGGCCGATGAGATAGCAGCATTCATGTGACGTATCTGTGACGTCATAATACATGGCTTCAAGGTAACCAGAAAGTAATCTGCACGAAATAGAATGCATAAATTTACGTGCATCAAGCTAAGAAGCCAGAGAGTATAGGTCTTAAAGGTATTGCTCCATATTTGAATGAGAGCTTGAGCTGCAATGGCCACATTGGAGATCATTCGATGCGGTTCACAGCCCTGCCCTTCTAAAGGCTTAAAACCTTCAAACTGCTGAGCTACACACTCGCGAACATGTGCAGAATATTTCGTGCGGTCTATTTCAAGGCCATTTAGGCATTCATGACGCCATAGGAACGTCATTCATATCCTGCCACCCACAGGCCAACCGACGTTGAAGGGCAGAATCAAAGTGCGGCCGAAATGAGCGTCTGCAGCAGCTGCTGATCTAATTTTGGGCCCACGACGAGGTGGGTTTCGTGGATGCGCTCAAAGTCCGAAGCCGGCAGACTGCACAACCTCCGGCACTTCCAGCCAACGATCAGCTTGGGAAGCGAACTCCCCTAAAATGTTTGGACGACAAGTCTTCGGCATGTTATACAATCGCTCCCAAACTTCAGGCATTCTGCAAGGGGTCTACTGGAAATGTCTTAAAATAAAAACGTGTCCCTAGCAGATCTTGCTTTTGAGAAGTTATTGTCCTTTAGGAACACTAAACGGTGATCCACGAATGGCGTGGGGAACGGGCAGCAACCGACGACACCGCAAACTGCTCATGGTGGACCTGCACCCTGACGGGGCATACAGGGCAAATATGTGTGGAGGCACGCCTGTTTAGGATCCGTGTAGCTATGAAACATGATCTCGTGCATGACGGCACTCAACAAGTTTTATTTCAGGAGATGTTTGCCTTTGACGAGGTCTAATAGGATCAATTATCGACCTAGTACCAAGCGACGTAGTGACACACGCGGAATGTTGACGATGTTCATCCACTGTTATTTTACCGCGGGACCCTTTCTTTCTAGGTTTGGAAACGCCAGGCTTATTTTACAAGGATCCAGCAGGCTATTCATTAGCCGATAGAACTCAGAAGCTGCGCTACAATTTAAGTCTGCGTTCTTCAGAGACATGATTGCCCTCCGCTGATGTAGATTGCAGGTCGAAAAGGGCTCACAATTAGCATAATTTTGACCGAGTCATGTTTATCTGGGAATGTTCAGCCATCATTCAAAATTGAGTGGTGATGGGAATTATGCAACGTACTTTTAAACATACGCGCTCGCAAATATTAACAACAAAAACATCGACGCCAGGCGTTGCAGTCTCTATAGGCCGCGCAGCCTAGGCCTCACCGTAAATACTAAGCCGTGGCCAATGGGTGGACGAAAATGATGACGCATCCTACATAAGTACATTTGAACACTTAAGGACATCAAATCGTACATTTATAGGTAGTTCGGGCGAATATTTGACTTTTGCTATGTTTGTATGGATGACTATAGCGGATTGACTTTTACAGCACGGCGGAAAGGTGCTGGAATCTGGTGGTGGAACTGAAATAGTAAAGGTAGCATCTCATTTTTCGTGTTTATATAATTGTTAATCTGTCCAGAGAACATCCTCCCGGCTGTAAAAGAGTACATGTCCTGTCTCATCTCTGAGCGATACGATTTAATTTTCAATGGCAATCGAAAGTATTATTTCACGACGCTCGTCCCCGCGCGTACGGCGTCCGCCGCCCGGTGTTACTTGCAGTGGCCAACGCCGTTTGGTTCTACGGTTAACTGCAGCCCCGGCCATCGCCGTTCGTGCTCCTGAGTTTACGCACGCGCAGGCTCACACCTTTTGAGGTTATTTGTTACGCTAGTGGATTATCCAAAGGGAATGGACGTTCTGAGGCAAACATGGGATTTGACAAGACAGTAGTATAACCCAACTATATGTCCATTCTCTTGGTTTTTATCCGAGGAATGAAGCTAATACTATTGTCTTATCTATGTGAATATTGTTCCTCGCTAGTGCACTGAACAACTTACGTAAACATGGGATGTCCTTGTTCATTTTTGAACTCTTTCCGACTCACTCTTTTCAACAATTGTGAGACCTCTCGCCTTTTCCGAGTAAAAAACCTCTTGATTAGAACACAAGGGGACACATCATTATCATGTGACAGCTTATCATCGTCCACATTGAGACAATGAAACAGTCCTGTCTCAGTCAGGGCCCCCAGTACTGAGTGGTACCCTCGGTACCCCAGTACTCCAGTACCCCCGTAACGGTACTCCAGTACCCTCCAACCCAATCGCAGCATGGGCCCGTCACTGGAAAACTCTGTGCCAATTATTGGAACACATGCGGCGATCAGAAAACTTCTTACGTCAGTGGGAGATCCTGTGCCGATCCAGGACCAATTGCGCCGGTCATATGGCCTACCGCTTCAGGGAGGGGACCAATAACGCCCCTGTTTCTCCAGAATGGCAGAGAAGCAGAAAGTCACCCTGCGTTGGGACGGAATAGCCCTTCAGCTCTTGGCCGGGACGTTGTCGATCTCTGGCCGAAATAGAGGCCTGCATCGTCCCGAGGTGTTCCAAATCGGTGCAAGAGGCCCTCTGACTGACATTCAAGTGAACGGCATAAGAACAAGTCGCGGTACTCCCGACCGGGGTTTTTACTGTCATCTGCAGCTAGCCCTTCGGGCCCTTTAGGCACTTCAACTTTTAATCGGGCTCTTGATCGTTGGTCCTGGGGACCCTCCGGTTCCTCTTCGGCTCCCCTGGAACACTGCCCCTGGCTAAATCAGGACTGCTTGTCAGCACAGGACTCACTGTTAGGAATTGTGGGCCCTGGACGATTTAGGAGGTCCCTCATTGAACAAAGTCACGATCAATGTCAATCGTGGTTCCCGGCCTCCTCCAGGCTTGGGAAATGAACCCTCAGGCCCAGACCGACACGCTGCCGACTGTTTGGATATCTGATGGCCCAGCACTGCACAATCAGCTCTTTGTGCCCCCCCCCCCCCTCCATTGGGCACTTGATCGTCAATCCTGAGGGGTTCTTCGGGCCTCTTTGCGGGCCCCCTCGAACACTGCTCTGGCCGACTCTGTGCTTCTTGCCAATGATGGACACTTGTTAGACACTGTGCTCACCAGACCGACGCAGCGGTCTTCTCATGATTTCAGGGTCACAAACGATGTAAATCGTGGGCCCCGGCCTTTCGCGCATTCACGTAAAATTGGCATTCGACACATTTCAAGGACTCTTTAGAATAAAGACGCATGATAATTTTAGTCAAGTTTTGCGGGTGCTAACATTCCAATGATTTGTCGGGCTTGTTTTCATTTCCCAATACAGCGTTGTGACAAAGCGATGCAACGTAATGCAGCCTGTGTAATTTAAAACATCGCTGAATGAACCTGAACAATTTGGGCGCTGGCACAAAACTAAGCTTGTCGACTAGGGTCAACAGTGCACCTTAATCATGCAATAAAAAAACATGCCATGCAAGAAAGGCAAAACAAACTCCAGCAAAAAGGTGCAAACGCGAAACTCTTAAAGTGTGGCCAGCTCAGTCTGATGCACTCAGCTGAAAACAACATTGCAGTTGCTTCTCTTTTGCCTTACCTGTGAAGTAAGAATCAGGGAGTTTCTTATTGGTGAAATCTGTAGAATTTGCTTAATTTTGATCTCTTATATAAATGTCCTGCTTGTATTTCGGCGCCAGAAGGCTGAAAGGGGTCAAAAACACAATGAGAGAGGCCAAACTAGACATTTGAGGCTAATGGCCCACACTTAAGATTAAGGATGGAAATTTGCTCCTGGTAGGCAAGTAACTAACAAGGGTTTGTTAGGCCAGCATTTTAGCAGGCCGCTTAGACTGGAAACGGACCTAGCGCACTTTAGACAAAAGCTTGCGCAGGTAAACATCAGACTGTTGAGTAGCCATCACATGATATCGAATAGTCGGGGAGGGAGGTCCGCGGAGTGGTGCTCGCATGCGATGTGTGGAATGTGTTTGAGGGTTGTAGTGTTCCTAGTTTTCATCTGCTGCAGTGTGATGAACAGGGTGGTCTTATGTGTTTGAGTTCTTAAATTGCGGGCTAAGTGAGAGTTGAACGCTGAATGTGTTTCCTTGATTAGTTTGCTTATGTGTCCAAACGATTGATTTTCCCACTTTTACAACATGGGGTATTTGCATTGAAGATTAATGTGATTCCACGTGCCATGTTCTGACGGTATGTGGCACAGATCTGAATCTAGTTTGATTTGCATGTTTTGGTTACCCTTGCCAGCCTGAGCCATTTGTGGTCTTTCAGGTTGTGACACTAGGTATGGAGTTAATTGTTTTTTTGTCTGTAATATTTAATAGCATTGGGCCAGGACAAGGTATCCTTGGGTAGAGTACCACAGATTTGCTCACATGTATTTTTGAAGATCTGGAACATTAGGTCAGACCAATGTGTGTGTGCATGTGATCAATCTAATAAGTGGTTCATGCATTATTGAATGCATAACTGAATGCCTTTTTGAAAATGGGCTGAGTACTGCTTTTTTGCCACTTGTTCATCATTGTTTTATTGTTTATGACTTTTCTTGCCATTTTATGCAGAAGTCCATTACGCGAAAACAACTTGCAGCATTAGTTTTAGTTTCTGCTTTATGGTTCTTTCACTGATCTTTCTTTATTGCTGAAGCTCCATAAAAATAAATGTGTTGTCTGTGGTCACAGTAGTGGCAGATATTACATTACATGACATTTTGTTAGCAACTTAATAGATAGCAAACATTGTGTGTTTGTTCTACAGCATCAACAATTTAAATAATGTGTTCAGGTTATTGTTGAATCCTTTGAAACTCAAAGCTGTGCTCAGTCACAAACCATTCAGTGTGTGATACACCTCTTAACTGTTTCAATGTCTTCTGTCAAAATGATGCATCCAGTCATAGTCATATCTGAAGAGTACTCAGTAAAGGCTTGATGATGGGAATAATGATCTGGGCTTAAGGGCACACCATCTACAGTGGTCCACATGATGCCCAAAGGCTTGAGATTGATATGCTTGGGTATGTAGCAGGGCACTGGAACATTAAAGTACATGTTTTACATTGTAAGTTCTCAAGCAGATCATAACCTACCCGCAGTGAAGGGGTCGCAAGTTATCATCAGCACTGCTAGACACCTTTTGTGTTTCCGCAATGCATCTATTAACCAGGGCTCTTTGTTATGTTAATGGTTAGTTGTTATGAACATTCAAGAATCTATTTCACCTGTCATAACAAAAATAAGATGCTCAAATGCAGTTTCCACAGACCTCAGCTGAAAGAAAAAGTGAGTTTTCTGTTGGCATGCAACTTTGTGTCAAATCTGCTGCCACAAATGGGATAGAACAAAATTGCATGCACACTGCACATCAAACTGCTGAGAGATGTAATACAGTGGTACTGAAGGAAGATAACCTAAATGGTGGATACTAAGACTGCTTGGTTTTCAGGTCAGAACTACACCACTCTGAAATGGCCTTACTATACCGGCGAAACTTCAAGTGGCTTCTGCTCATAGTGTCAGTGTGGGGCGTTGGTGTCATTTGCTACCTTCGGAGTACATCATCATCACCTCAGGTGAAGTGGCTGTCCTCAGTGAATATATATCATTCCCATCTCCTGTGTAGGCTCTGTCCTACATGCACACTGTAAACGCACATGCCAGATGTTCAATTTTCCGCAATTTTGCAGGACAGGCTTGGCTACAGCCTCTTGCCAGCATGCCCGCGGCAGGAGGCTGTGGCATGATCTTCCGTGGGAGCGGACGATCTTCCGCGGTTGTGCTTCGATTTCTCAGGCCCGGCGTTCAGGAGACTGTTTTGGTGATCCAGAGCAAGGTTGTGACATTTGAGCTGGTCACCGGACCAAAACGTCTATTTGTGGACAAACCATTCCCGCAATTACGCTGCCGCTTCCGCTAGCTGTCGCAACGCAACCCGCGACAGGGTTGTCGTTCAACAGCTGCTGCCATCTCCTGGGTCGAGGAGCTGCGGGATAAAAAGCCTTCGGAACTCAAACCTGGGCCAAGAACTTTCTCTGCACAATGAACACGCATTTTTCAATTGCGACACTGGTTGTGCTCAACTATGAACACCGCTGTCAACCAGCATGTAAAAATTCATGATTTTCTGCGGAAAATGACGTCTTTCATGTGACATTTTTTACTCTTAGTTTTGGACTCGTAAATTGGTCTCCCATCCTTGGATAGGTTAAATTGTCGGCTGTTTTCGGTCTAATCCGGGGCTTTGGCAAAAACATTCCCATCTCCATGGCAACTTTTGCTATGGTGATTATAACGCACGACTGTCATGTACCTGCGGGCTGCGTTCATATTGGGCTGTGCCGAACTTCTCAGCAGCTGGCTGTGTCATCCGTCATACTTCCCAAGCACGTAAGCACTTAAGTATGCGAAGTACGATACGAGAGTCGGCTATGAGCGGACGATATGACCGGCGTGTTGGCGAAAAGTAGAAATTTGGTGGTTGAGGTAACCCCCCTCACTTGCGCTCTTTCATGGCGATAAATAGTAAAAAATGAATTTAGCACAAGGAAAGCAATCTGGTGCAGAAGTGCAGACCCCGTAGGGAAAGCCGGATCAGATAGCTAGCGGTATCTTTAAGAACATAGCTTCGTAATTGCAAGGACATATAGTCAAGGCGTGCAGCAGAATCTGATGAAGACATGACGTCACCCACAGAAACAGATGCCTCCAGTAGGCAACGAGCGCCGATAAAAAAGATGGCAATGAGCTGAACGTTAACTATGTTGTGCTATGTGTACTATGATAATGGACTGCCAGACGACAGCGCGCTAAATATTGACACAGAGTGAACTGAAGCCTGGTGTGCGGTGTTGTTCCGCTGTGTCCGCTCGCGTCCAGAACTCAAGCTGACATCGGCGGACGCCGGCGCCGCCGTCGCCACGCCCAGCCCTGTCGCCGCGGCCCAATCTGTCGCCACGCCCAGCCCTGTCGCCGCGGCCCAAGCTGTCGCCATGCCCGGCCCTGCCGCCGCGGTCCAAGCTGTCGCCGTCCCGAGCCACCGGAGCTGGCGCTGCCGTGGCCCGGCGGCTCGTGTCACTCCCCATTAGTTCCCCTGTTTATCGGCCGGCGGGTCAGCCCCAGCCTGGACTGTTTACAGGCGATGTAAACAGTCGGCTGCACGGTCACAGGCCCCGGCATGCGCTGACCGAGAGACTCGGTTCCCACAGTTATAATGCACATGTGCGGGTAGATTTCGGGGGCACTCTGGCTGTCAGGATGCTGTGCATGTTGTCTCTTCCTTGCGCTTTTTGCCGGGCCGATCCGTGATCCAGGCTCCAGATGGTTGTGTGGTTCGTCCTGGTGATCAGAGCGCTGATTGAGCGTTAAGCGGGCTGCCGAATACCGCTAGCGATGGCTCCCGCCCACAAGCTCCATCAGCCCGGCCATTCCCAACATCGCGCCTCTCTGGCGTGGGACCGGGCAGTGTCCGCCCCTCGTCATCCCTAACCACTGGAGCTTATGGGTGTGTTTGTTGGTGGGGGGGGGGGGGGGGAGGGGGGACGGCAGAAGAACAGATCAGGGACCAGAGCGACATCGCGCACACATGGGGCAGGTTGGCGGCGGCCCGACGGGTCCGCACGGCCACCCAGACTGTTACCGGAGGAGACGCAGGCAGGTCGGCGGCGGCCCGGCGACGGCGCCGTCGGCACCGCCGGCTGGGGGCTAATTACGACTAATGAGTGCGGGCGGAGCGTGGAATGCCACGCGCTCCGACGGCCCGTTGGCGTGGGAGCGGGGCGCCCGGCTGGCAGCCGGCTCGGCAACGAGGAGGGGGGACGGGGGGGGGGGGGGGGGGCTGTGCTGGCAGCCGCGCCGCGCCGCGAGAAGAGTCCATGCCGAGTGTCGGAATGCGCGCCGACGCGAAGCACACTCTGTCTAAGACGGCGTCGGCTGCCTGTCGGTGAGCGAAACAGATGACTTCAAGACATTTGACAGGGACTGGTGTGCAGGTGCATGGAGATGCTTGCGATGCCTTTCTTTTGCTTCGCTGGGTATGCAAGCAAAAAGGCGACTGTCAGATTAAGTACTGTATAATGTTTACGAACTGTCATCAAATGGTGCAACGGGAGCGTGGACAGCTTGCAAAAACTGTCAGGATGTGGTGTACCACGGCCTGTAAAGTGCTTTTCGAACTGTTGCCTTTAGATCAAAAAACACGTCTGGAGTTGGCCATTTGGTTGCTTCAAAAGAGCTCACAGAAAACGTTTGCTTGAGTTGAAATATCCTCTGTTTACGAGTAATTCGTACAACAATTTTTTGCCAGCAGTCAAATTAGTGGTTCGTCCTATATGGCCGTGTGTACTTTTGAGGAAAAATCGCCAAGTCTGAGTTAGCGTATCTAGTTCCTTTCAGTATCCTGCCAAAAACTGCAGCGATACTGAAGCCTGGTGATTCTTATACGAGAAGACCTTATTAGCGTTCCGATTGTTCTTTACGTTGCCGTTCAAGATAACCAAGTTTTATGGGAAAGGTTGGCATTTATTTACATGATATTCCGAACATGCAATTTGTGAATGGCCCAGTATCTTTCAACCGAAAATATCGACTTGCATGTACTTCACTTCTGCCGTTGTAAAGGAACCAGAGCGAGTTGGCCTGTGAGGCCGTCTGCACGCGACACTGGAGGCTGCCAGGTGCGCTGCGGCGGTCCGTCGGGCGGCGGGCGGGCCAGCCGGACTCTATGGCGGCCGGAGGTGCCTGCGGCCCGACACCGAGCACGAGCGGCGGGCGGGCCAGCTGGACTCACGGCGGTCGGAGGTGCCTGCGGCCCGACACCGAGCACGAGCGGCGGGCGGGCCAGCCGGACTCACGGCGGCCGGAGGTGCCTGCGGCCTGACACCGGGCACAGGCGGCGGGCGGGCCAGCTGGACTCTGCGGCGGCCGGAGGTGCCTGTGGCCTGACACCGGGCACGGGCGGCGGGCGGGCCAGCCGGACTCTGCGGCGGCCGGAGGTGCCTGCGGCCCGACACCGGGCACGGGCGGCGGGCGGGCCAGCTGGACTCTGCGGCGGCCGGAGGTGCCTGCGGCCTGACACCGGGCACGGGCGGCGGGCGGGCCAGCCGGACTGCGGCGGCCGGAGGTGCCTGCGGCCTGACACGGAGCACGGGCGGCGCCGGCTGCGGACCTTATCGGCGGCCCGGCAGCGCCGACGGGCCGCGCCACGCTGCCCATCAGTCACATACAGCCGGTGCCGGCCGCCCGGCCAGCTGCGGGGAGTCTGAGGAGTTGCCGGCGGGCTGCGGAGAGTCTAGGAAGTTGCTGACGGGCTGCGGGAGTCTGGGAAGGTGCCGGCTTCCCGGCCAGCTGCGGGGAGACTGGGGTGGTGCCGGCGGGCTGCGGAGAGTCTTGGAAGTTGCTGGCGGGCTGCGGGGAGTCTGCGGAGGTGCCGGCCGCCCGGCCCGCTGCGGGGAGACTGGGGTGGTGCCGGCTGCCCAGCCCGCTGCGGAGAGTCCGCGGAGGTGCCGGCGGGTTGCGGAGAGTCTGGGAAGGTGCTGGCTTTCCGGCCCGCTGCGGGGAGTCCGGGCAAGGGCCGGCCAGCTTCGGGGAGTCTGGGGAGGTGCCGACCGCCCGTCCCGCTGCGGGGAGTCTGAGGAGGTGCCGGCCGCCCGGCCTGCTGTGGGGAGTCTGAGGAGGTGCCGGCCGCCCGGCCCGCTGCGGGGGGTGGCGCCGACCGGGCGGCGAAGGTACAGTTCCACGAGAGAGAGTTCAGTGCGCATGTGGGAGTTGCAGGAAACTGCGAAAATTATAATTCTATAAGACGAGCCGCGCTCGCACCCAAGCTCCGCTCGTCCTGTCCTACCATGCTCGCCCTCTACAAGATTTGCTCATTTTCTCTCAGGTCTGTTGGCATTCTCGCAGGCGGCCGTCCCCAGGCGGCGGCCGGCCAGTCGGCGGCGGCTGCCGCTCGTCTGCCGCCGCCACCGCCGGGCCCGCCGGGACCTGGCGCCGTCCGTTGATCGCCGCCGCAGCCATTCCGCTAATGCGCACGCCAGCTAATTCCCGTCAAACGCTGTCCGGGCGTCTGACGTATTCAGGCGGCGCGGCCGCTGCCGCCCGCCGCCGCCGCCATTAGTTACGTCCGCCGCGGCCGGGCCGCCGTCCCGGAGACGGACGGCGGGGACGCACACGGCGCTGGCGCCGGCGTCGATGGCCGCCGGTACGGATCCGCACCGGCGGCGCCGGTGCAGATGGCCGCGGATGGCCGGGGGTGTGGATAGCCGCCTGCACGGACCCGTACCGGCGGCGCCGGTGCAGATGGCCGCGGATGGCCGGGGGTGTGGATAGCCGCCGGCACGGACCCGTACCGGCGGCGCCGGTGCAGATGGCCGCGGATGGCCGAGGGTGTGGATAGCCGCCTGCACGGACCCGTACCGGCGGCGCCGGTGCAGATGGCCGCGGACGGCGGGGGGTGTGGATAGCCGCCTGCACGGGCCCGTACCGGCGACGCCGGTGCAGATGGCCGTGGCCAGGCGGACCTGTTTCGTCTCTCAAGTAGTCGCCTCCTCCCGCCGTGCGGGGCGACAAAGCCTCGCCC